TGTGTGTGTGTGTGTGAGAAGGACCTTGTCATACTCAAGAATCCATACAGTTTGTCATCTGTATTTTACTTTAATATGTAAACATCTCCTGTACAGTACATCATATCATCATCATCTAGCAATTTGATTTCAAGTATGCCAACTCTATAAATATTCAACAATAAAATGCTTTAAAAATGAACATGAAACATATATTAAGCAAACTGTGGCACTGAGTAAAGCTAAACATGACATAACACCACAAAATAATCATAGCAAAAAGCATTTGTCCATGCGTGGCCGGGTGCTCCAATTATTGATATCTATGAGAGGAAATGCTTAAAAGATTTTAAATGTTTAAAACATTTTCTCAATGCAAATATAATCTAACAAAAACTGGAATACAACTTGTAAAATGACTTTGCATGCCACCAACAATGGCAGTGATAGACAAACTTTGTTCTCTGAAGTGACACTTAACATTAAACACTTACATTAAAATGATTATTAAAGAAACAGTATATTTGATAGCAACTTAGCATTACCCAATGTGCCATTATTCCATAATGATAGACTGTTTGAAAGGTTACAATCCCAAATCATCTGGACTCAGTAAAAACGAGGCCGCCAGGGCAACTGCTGGGGAACCCACAATGTCGAGTGTTCTTTTCAGACACTTAGCTAGGGATCTGTTTGCCACTGTCACTATTACACTGCTGAATGTGGGTATTTAATCTACAAGATCCAGTGTGTTCATTGTAGAACTAGCTCATAATCATTCAGCCTCTTATACTGTAAAGGTCTGTATGTTCACATCCGCAGGTTAAACATTTTCATTGCTCATTTTCATACTTGATATTATAGGCCACAGGCCCTTCCATGGTAAATCCAAGGTAGAAGGATACTTCCTCCCGGCTGTATCCGCTTCGAATATCACCCAGGTAAACTGGACGTACTAGCATTTTTAGATTGCCACCATAGTTAACGTAAATGTCACCATTTTCTGATGTTCCTTTAATCCTTAACAGCTTCTTCTGGATCTCTGGCTCGTTCCATACAGCACCACTCTGCCACAGATGGTGCAGGTTACGTGGTTGACTGCTTTGGCCACTGTTGGAGGCTTGCTTTGAAACAATTTGATCAAGCTTTACCTTGGGAACTATTCGTTTGAGTCCACTGGATTTCCCAAGGAAGAAATGAGCAACAGCATTCCTTGCAGGTAACATGTGAGAGAAGCGTCGATGAAAAGATTTCTTGGCTGATGTGATGTACGTGCTGATATTTTTGTATGATGCTGAGCTTTCAGGCCCTTGGTCTTTTGTAGGCCACATTAGCAACATGGAGAGGTAGTACAGCTCTGTCAGATTTGAATGAGTACCCTCCTTTTGCAGTACCTCATTAAGAAGGGAGACCAGCTCCTCATATTTTATCAGCAATTTGTTGGAGGGCTTCAAGCTGTGAACAACAATGTTTGCCAAGATGAAGTTGACTGTATCTGACACATATTTGTGGGGTGAGTTGTCAAATATAAACTGCCATTTTTGGAAAATGTGCTCCATTTCCTGCCAGCCTCTGTCATACAAGCACTGCAGAAGTCCAGCAAATGAGTCTGCTCGTTTCCCTTCCAGATAGCACCTCTGATCAACTATGTCCTGACGGAGACTGAGATTGGGCTTGCTGGCTTTTTCAGATGCTTTCTCCTCCTCCGAAATGCTAAATATTTGCATGTATTTTTTAAAGGACTCAGAAACCTTTCTCTTGTTTCTTTCGTCAGCTGTCTCCCTTTCCTGAGACCTAGGTTTTAGGTATGTGAAGTAGTTCTCAAAGAAAGTGAATATTTCCTTTAGCCTTGGCTTCAAAGAGACTAGAAATTTCTCATGGTCTGCCAGGACAGAGACAAGCTGGTTAATGGCTGTGTTGCTCAAATCATTTAAGTTGCTCACTTGTCCACCTTTCAGGAATTGTAGCATTTTATCCCTCCTATGTCTGTCACTGACAGCAAAAATAGGAAGCTCTTTAATGACATCAAGGAGAATCATAATGACTTCTGTCTCTCCAACATAGCCTGATGTATTGTAGGATGTTTGCCTTTTTTTGTGGCGTGTATCAAATGGATCAAATGAATCATCCTTCTTGGCTAGCTCTTGTGAATCCTGGAATGCAGTTACAGCATGGGATGCTAAGTGTAAGCATCTGTCAAGTGTTTCTGGAGTGAGAACCTCAGAATCTTCAATTTCTTTTTTGAGGTGGCTCTTGTACACTTGACCGACTGTATCTGCAATGTATGAATTGGAATTTTTCTGCTGTGCATCCAAAGCCCACTTGAGGGCAGATTTAAAGTCTTTCTCTTTCAAGCAGAAATGTCTTGCCAGTGCTTGTGGCAGTGTTGCACTTCTGTCAAACCTCAATGTGGCTCTTTCTAAGACCTCTTTAATTTTGTCAGGTCCTTCCTTCTCATGTATGCATTCAATCAGAGGGGAAAACAAAGTGTCTTTGTCATCGCCTTGTTCTTTTCGGTGACGTGTGATGAGCATGCTATGAATGCTTTGCACTAGGAAATCCTTTCCCATGCATGATTTGTAGAGTTTGTCACAGTGTAAAAAGTTAATAGTTATCTCAGACAGAGAAAGAGTGTGTTTTTGGGTAAGAACATCAAGACAGTTACTGGCAATCATTTGGTGTAAGAATCGTACTGCTTGATAGTTGCCATGCTCTTCAACAGTGAAAGTGATCATCAGTGTGGAATAGGGATTCATTATATCATCAAGACTTTCTTGCTTCCACAGAGCATTTCTTATCCCAAGTAACTCTTCACACAAAGAGAGTGACATGTAGGATCCATTTACAAAGGTGTTCAGCAGAGCCAGAAAGGATAAAAGCCTACCCTGTTGGGTAGTGGCGTCAATATCTTTGACAATGTTGTTCACCAGATTTGTGATGTAAGTCTCACTGAAGTTATTTGTCATGATCATGAAAGCATAGAAGGTGTCTGGCTTTTCATGGTTATCCTTGAGTTGTTGAAATTTATGAGAAAACAAACTCTGCTCTTTGGCTGACAACTTGTTGGTGATGGACACATTTGGAATGCGGCTATTTCTGCTGCTCTCATCAGGGAAACGGGTTCTCTCACAGTTCACTATGATTACCATGAGATTTTGCTTCCTATCACTGGCGACATTCAGGATGCACTGCTTTAGGCCCTCTACATCATCCCAGTTGTCCACCAAGAGGAGTACAGGTACATAGCCTGGCTGCTCCTGTTTGCCATATGTCAGCAGGTTTATGACTTGAGCTGCAATTTCTTTATTGGCTGCCATGTTGTTTTTAACAACAGTGCATCTGAACTTCCTTCTCAAGTCCCAAAGAACGTGCCACGCTAGAGTTGTTCCCCCACATCCTGGGTGGTGGAAAAGATTGATCATAACACATGGAGATGTGTAGCCTTCTGTAGGAGTGATCAGGTCATACAGCTCATTGTATTTGTCTCGTTTGATGAATGGCAGGCTGCCGTTCTTTTCAGAAAGATAAAAGTTCCACCATGAAACTTGACCTCCTCTGTAAAAGTCCTCCTCTGTTGTCCTCTTGAACTCCTGAAAGGATTCATTTGTTTCAATTTCTGTGTTCTCACATTCATTTTCACACAAGATGTCTAAATCAGTCATCAACTCTTCATCCTTTTTTGTTAGCAGGACTGAGCTTGAGCCTGTGGATGGCAAGAACCTCCTGGAGGACTGTGTTTGAGGTTCTTTAAGCTTGCTTATGGTGCTGGATATTTCATTCAGACTTAGTTCATAGATGCATTTATTGGTGATATCCTCCTTACAGCGACGCTCTATCAGCTGCTTCCAGTGATTGAATACGGTGGAGTCTTTGCATATGCACAACATATTGTCGAACCCTTCTAGTGTGCGATAAATTGCACAGAAGACCTCCAAAATTGGGCTTGAGATGTCAGTTACTTCTGAGTGAAGAATGAATACCACCAGGAGTCTGTCTTTGGAAAGAAAATCTGGGTTGAAAAGCAATGAAACCATGTTGTTGATATCACCACAGCGTTTTTTAAGCCATTCACTAGGTGTTAGTGGCTTGTCTGTCTCACTGTCTTCATTCACTCGCCCATTGCAGAAGACCCAACTTGTTTGCTTGAACAAGTTCAGCTTTTGAATGATTGCAGTTACACTGTCCTGAGTGGTGTACATGCGTGGATAGTGCAAATTGGCTATGTGATCTCTTCTGTAAAAACTGCATGTTCCATTCACATCAGACTCTGGGTCAAACTCAAGTACCGCAAACAACTTAATCTCTTTCAGAAAATCCAAGTGTCCCAGTTGACTTGAATGGCATTTGTCAGTGACAACAATGACCTGAAGGGAATTCTCAAAGGCATTTCTTCCACGAGTTAACAGCTGTTTAAGCCTTTGGCCCTGGTTGCCTTGGGAGGGATGTTTTTCATCCTTTTCCTCGGCTGTCTTTCGTGCTGATGCCCAGCACTTGACTTTATCGATCAAACTTTTCACCTTCTCTTGGACAATCCGAGGATTAGGATCTGCCAAAATGTTGATTGACCTTGGGCCATCACGGACAAAAAGACATTCAGTCTTGCACTGTTGCTTTTTTTCTGCGGATGCAATACTCAGTGGAGTATAGAAAATATTTTCTTGCATCCCTGAATATGTTGGAACTACATCAACCTCAATCACCCATTTATCTGAAGTTGTTCCATCTTCAGAATGAACTTGTATAAAATTCGGAGGCCTGATACACATTCTGGCAATATTTATGTGCTTTTCTTCAAAATATTCGCTCAGACATGATTCAAATGCTTCGTTATATATACTGAAAGAGGTGATCTTGTGCCCAACTACCTGACCATGTCCCTCTCCTGGCTGGTTGTTCACTCCAAAATGAATAGTGCCATTGGTTCGTGAATTAATGCAGCTCGCAGCAAAACAAAACACTTCCTTTGTGAATTCATAAAGGATCTCTCTTTCACTGGCTTCGTTTGCACTGGGAAGAAGCTGGTACTCATGGACAGGGTCAAGAAGATTACTTGGACCGGCTATGGGAGGAAGAATGTAATTTTGTATGTAAAAGATGGAAGAGTTGTTTTTGTCAAAGGGTCGGATCTGGCATATCGGTTTCTTTAGTTGTAGAAATGTTGCACTGTCAGTCATTTCTGTATTTAATTTTGTGTCGTTTAATGTCTTCTGATCTATAACAGATCTTATTTTGTTTCTTGCTGTCTCCAAAATAAGCATTGTGGAGCTTAGACTTTGAACTCCTGAATCTGATGACACTGTTTCAGTTTCCACAGATTCGTCCATATTTCCTGACACATCCTGCATCTCTGTACTTTTCCATACTTCACCTTCTCTTGGTTCGGTATGACTCTTTGGTATTCTCAAGCTTGGCTCCAAATTTTTTGAATGCTTCCTTAATTTCTCAATCTGTCGTATGATTTGTATTGCCGGTGCTGGTGGGACATCTAGTTCTAGCAAGTCTTGTTTCTCAAAGCAGACTAAGCAAGCTCCTGACAACTCTTGGTCATAGAGATTCTGTGCAATTTTCTGTGGTACTCTAAGTTTAACAATCAGCCAGTCTTTCACATGTTCTTTGGTCCAGTCCTCAATCAGTGGTGGGAGTATGAGGTCATATTCTCCCTGTATGCCAAGAAGTTAAAAGAAGATTTAATTGCAGAAGAATTAATGTTGGATATCTTTTCAAACACACCACTACTATAAATAACATTAAAAAGCCTCAACATACTTTTTTGTCCTGTGGCCTACCAACTGGGAACCATGCTGCCACTTGTGTCACATTCCTGTAAACAAACAACAAGAAATACACTTAATTATAGCAAAATAAACTGTATCCTGTCTACAACAATTATTTTCCGCCTGAAAGCCAATACAGTAAAAGGGCATTGTACACATTGTTTGTACTTCGGATGAAGGTTAAGCTTTAGTTCAGTTGTGATGATCAGTCAATATACATGCATCAATGTTCAATTGATATGTGTATCTATGTGTTGAAATATTGAAATAGAATGTGGACATATCTTGATCTTGTGTCTTATCTTAGGTAAGAGCCAACAAAAGTCTTACCGTTCATCTACAGATGTATTATCAGGACACATATCTGGCGGCGAGCTCCTTGACCTATCACTCTTCAGAGAAGGGCTTGTTGGTGATGTAGGTTTTTCGAAGTTTGTATTCATCCTGTCTGTCTTAGCAAATGGACGGTTCCTAGACGTGATACAAAGAAAGGTGAAAGTTGTAAATGGTGCTCTATGTAAGCTCCTATTACAGAATGTCAAGTCAAGACAATTTTGTTTATACTGCCCAATATGACAAATTTGGACCGGAATCCATCATCATCATCATCAGTCACTACTGTTAGTGTAGTTGTTGTTACTGTTGTTGCTGTGCACCTTTTTCTCTGTCTCTGTCGTTCTGTCTTTACCTCTCTCTCTCTC